GCGTGGCTCGCGGGGGGGTGTGGTGTGTTTGGGGGGGGGGGGCGGCTGGGGGGGGGTCACTGGTGCCCATATCCAGCAGTCACTGTGCTAGAGGTGGGAGACAGGTCTCCAGTCCATCACAGGGACAAACATTCACTCTCACTCACGCCTAGAGACAATTTGTCAATCAGCCTAACATGCTTGTTTTTAGTATGTGGGAGGAAACCGGAGAACCCGGAGAAAATCCACGCATGCACGGAGAGAACATGCAAGTTCCACTCAGATTGGCCCGTGGCTGGGATTTGAACCAGCGACCATCTTGCTGAGAAGCGGCAGCTCTACCAACTGCTCCACCGTGCTGCCATGAATAAATATGAAAACTAAATGAATGTTTTTGCTAGATTTTCTTAATCTTGTTCGTGTGTAATAATTTCCAGTCGTGCAGAATTGAATGTACAAGGACTTTTAGCAACAAGAAAATCCACTAGTTGGAGTTTTCTAACATAACAACCAATGTGAATGTTTACTAGTTAAAATGTGATTACACTGATAAACTCCAAAAGATTAACACTGACAAAAGGGCGACATTTCAAAATGTAGTTCTTTGCACAACGCACAATGACAATTTCATTAGCAGCAACAGTTTGGTTCATATCAGCCTCTTTCAGTGAATTACAGTCACACTTCATAGCAGCTGTTGCTACGTAATGTTACCACCTATGTTTCAGTCTTTCATGTGTGTTAAAAAAATCAAATAAAAGTTACAAACGACATAAAACATCTATGTGATGTTATTAATAAACGTGTCACATATTATTATTACCCACAACTCCCTGTGCTAAATTTAACAGAGCAACTTGGTATTACAGCTTCTATAGAAGCAGCTGTAGACTGATAAATTTATGTTTACAATCACATGTATGAGCGTTTGGTTGGTCTTTGTGAGGAGCGGATTTGTTCAGCTTGTTTTTAGTGTTGTAATCAACCTTTGATCTTGCTCGTGAACATAACTGTCCTTTCAGGAGCAGATTTCCGCACCGATTCAGATATCCTGACTCTGACTCGAGAAGAACTGCATGAGCTGTTTCCTGGACGTCAGAATCTGAAGAAGAGGAGGGCCATCTATGACACAATACACACACAGGTGTTTGTACAAACAGTAAAACAGAACTGTAGAAAACGCACAGCTTTACATTGTTGGAGTTTGTATCTGGATTATTGAGCATGGACTTTGGCATACAGCTTTATGTTTGGGTCAGTATGTTTTTGTTGGTTTCAACACAGAAATCAATTCATTTGCTGTTGAAAGAACTTCAGGATTTCGTTCCACACGAGTCTCTCAAAGGTAAAGAAGTTTTTCTGTAACATTTTGTAAAACAAACAAACAAATGACTTCTAAACATTTTGTAATCCTATTTAAAGCCTTTCACTTTCTGTCCAGCTGCTCTATCCAACAATGGAGTCTTGGTTGACTACCTCCACATCCTGAAGGACATGAAGACTCAGCTGAACAAAGTGCAGAGCGTCATTGACGCTCATATTGATTTATTGGAGGGCATCAACAAAGCTCAGCCGGAGCAGCAACAAAGCCAAAGTCAGTATGAAGTTTTACCAACATAATTACCGGTAACTGTAGAAGTGTAGAAAACATTTGCCTTGTTTATATAAAGTGCACAGTATTGGTTTATATAGATTAATCAAGTTCGTAAATGTAAAAGTTACATTTTAGTATTTTCATTTTTAGATTTATTTGATGGTGGGTACTAGGGGTGCGAAGCTCTCAGTGTCTGGCGATCCAATTCAATTCCGATTTTTGGTATCACGATACGATTCAAAATCGATTTTTTTGATTCGGAAACGATTTTCGATTTATAAACGATTTTTTTTTTAATTGAAATGGTCATAAATTTAGTTTCAATTATAATGTATATGTAACTGACAAGCTGAAAAGATTAAAACAACAATGTAAACAAATAGAACATTTATTTAAAACAATCATTTTAGGTTCCTTACTGTATCAAATATTTTTGATTTATTTTATATTTATACCAAAAATAGGAAAAAAAAATATAGGAGTGCATGAAATTCTGTAACTTAAATTACCAGTATTAGGTTAGCTTAGTAGCCTGATTTTTTCTAAAAAAAAAAATAAAAAAAATCATCCATCTATCATCTTTACCCACTTCTTCCTTTTCGAGTCACTGGTATCACTGGTGCCCATATCAGCCATCACTGTGTGAGAGGCAGGGGACACCTGGACAGGTCTCCAGTCCCTCAAAGACAAATAATTCAAAATATATAAATACAAATGTAAACAGACTTCAGTCTACCATAGTACATTAACCTTTAACTCAACATAAAATACAGACTTCAGTTATTTTTAACCATATTGCTCCAACGTTTGTTATATTTTCAAAACTTAACCTAATATGAAATATACAGACTTCACAGTTTTAACCCTATTGATTCATATTTAGTAAATATTTAACTAAATTTCAAAACCTGTGCAAGTTTGCACAAAAACCTCTTCTGAACTGTAATTTATAAATCATAAACTGTATCATTTAGAACTGGCTCCAGGTGATGTGTCTCATCTGTCCTCTTCAACCTATTAAAAAGACAAATTACATTAAGTTTGTTGTACAACTTGTCTATAAGTTTTAGTATAATATGAGAAAAAACAGTTATCTTTGAGCTGCAGCTGCATCAGAGCTTCTCCCATCTGTTGTTTCATGGTGAAGCTGTGGTGCTGCTTTATCGCAAAAAAACAAAAAATAACTACGTGGAGGAATAACGTATGTTGGATCCAGCGTATTCAAAATAAAACTAAACCCCTCACCTTCCACTGAGCTGTTTGCTCGTAAATCCTTTGTGATATAGCAGGAGATGGAGAGGGAAATCAGCTGGAATGAGCATGCATCAGGACAGCTGGAAGTTTGTTGCAGAGTTCGCTGGTCGGCTGCTTCGCTTTCATCTTCTGCGCATTTTGTCGTATATGTCCAAAATACTGTACCATAATTTTATTTTACACTTCTTGTAAACAACCGTGCTCTTGTTGAGCTCTGTCTTCCCCAGAACATTGTAGGATCTGAAATTATTTTTAAAGACGAAGCAGCGGGTTGAATCACGCAGTCTCCCTCCTCCATGCTAGCAGGCTCCATTCAGATAAAGGGAGCTAGCTATCTAGCTTGCTGTACGGTGGCCTACATGGCCCAATTCTACGGCGGCCGAACGGGGAGTAAGAGCGGAAAAAATATAAAACTTAAATGCATTTTAAAATCGATTTATGGGCCTTTAGAAACGATTCAGAATTGCCAGGACTAAGAATGTAGATTCTTTAAAAAATCGATTTGTTTCTTCACCCCTAGTGGGTACAGTGTCAAGCAGAAGTCAAACCTCAGTGGAACTACAATCAGTGGTAAAGCTTTTCTTAATTTATTCCTTCATTTTTGAGTCAACCATTTCTCACTAACTTGTCGTAAATATACATACTTGCAAACTTGTCACTTTTTGGTGAAATTCGCCAATTTCAAACTAAAATATGTAATTCACTTGAGTCATGTAAATCCAAAGAGTTTTTGTTTTCAGGGGGCGGAGGCGTGGTAGATGGCATGATTTCTCTTTAAGAAACGGTGTTTCCTCCTGTTCACTTGGGTGCTCCTTTTTTGTCGACGGTTAGGGGGAGGAGGGGGAGACACCTTGGTGTTGGACGCTAGCTTACCACTATGTTAGTGCAGGTGGCATGACAGAGGCACTGCTGGGCAGTTGTCAAATGAGTGGGGTGAGGGAGGTATGATGTGTGCTACATCTTTAGCATCTTAGCTAGCGCATCTGTATTGTACGCCGCTAGCTTAGCCCTACATCAACGTTTGAACAATGTAGCTGTCTGCCACATACACCAAGATTTTGCCCCCAGTTTTGAAAAGTCTATCTGACGGTGTTATAGAATACTTTGAAGGAAATATCATGTTAGGGAGAAAGAACCCAAGTAACACAAGTTTTCTGGAAAGGAAAATTGGGAAAATCAGTGTATGGGGAAGGAATACAGTAGTCCCTCGCTACTTCGCGGTTCGACTTCTGTGGACTTGCTGTACCGTAGTTTGTGGATGTGCAGTCCATAATATTGTACCAAAAAAACTGTACAGGACACTTCATTGTCAGCTTTAATTTTACTCACATGATTGGGGCAGTACTGGGTACAGTACCGTACAGTAAAAAAATTTAAGAAAAAAAAAAATTTAAGACTGGCGCCGCCTGTCCTTTTGTAGTTTTCTATCAGTAAGCCTCCACTCTATTCCTGCTCATAATGACCACATTTCCCAGAAAGCAACAGGGCCCCGCCCAGAAGCCCTGTTTCCTTCAGAGCAGTGGCTCTGCTCAAGCTGCACTGAACTGGCACAGAACCGGACCTCCAGACTCAACAGTGTATCCGAGAGCAAGTAAGTAAAATTTAGTAGCTACATATATAAGTATGTTGTTAAAATTAGAAGGTTTTAAGAGTTGACAACATTGATTGTGGGCTTGTCGCTGCAGGTTAGGTGTGCAGAAACGAACTGGGTTAGACCAGAAATGAGTCGGACCAGAAAGAGAGCCACTCCTGTTCTGCAGAGCCTGGTAAGTAAAATTTAGTAGCTACATGTACAGTACTGTATGTATGTTAAAATGACATAGTTTTAAGAGTTCAGAACATTGCAAGAGTATGGGAAAGGTTTCTAAAGTATATGTATATATAATACTACAATAAATAGTATACCTTCCCTACTTCATGGTTTTTCACTTATCGCGGGGGGTGGAACCTAACACCCCCAATAAACGGGGGACTACTGTAGTGCAAAGAAAAACAATGGGAGAAGGGAGATGGATGTTATTCACAGTTCAAGGTTCTTTATTGTCATCACATGTGGTACATGAGGTGGAATGAAATTGCGCACACAGGGTCCCAATTATGTCCAACAATAGCAAAAATATAAAGAATAAAAAAGAAACGGTATACAAGGATCTAAGATATACGTTAACCAATAATAATGTAAAATAATTCAGTATATTAAACAGCAGCCCGAACATGAGTCTGTTGTGAGCAGATGGGTGTGAATAAATACAGCAGCTTAAAGGCAAGAAATTAGCAGCATGGATAATCAGCAGCACAGATAAAATGACATCACCAATTAAAGTGGCATTACAGTGATTTTTTTTTCTTACAGTGATTATCCTGATTAGGGATTTATGAGCTTTAATAGCTTCAGGGTAGAAGTTGTTCCTCAGTCTAGTGGTTCTACACTTAATGCTCCGCAACCTCCTGCCTGCGGGGAGCAGGGCAAAAAGTGTGTGTGCTGGGTGAGTGGGGTCCTTCATGATGCAGGTGGCCCTCTTCCTGTATCTGGAGGTGTAGATGTCTGTGATGGTGGGGAGACTGACTCCAACAGTCTTCTGTGCAGCCTTCACCACTCTCTGCAAAACTTTTCTTTCTGCAGCTGTGCAGCTTCCATGCCACACGTTGATGCTGGATCACAGGGTGCTCCCAGCTTCGAGCTTCCCAGACCAGCTCGCCTCAGCCGCCAGAGGAAATAGAGTCTCTGACAAGCTTTCTTGATCAGGCTGGTAGTGTTGTTGCCCCAGCTGAGGTTGTTGTTCAGGTGCACACCCAAGTACTTGTAACTGGAGACCACTTCCACCACAGATCCTCCTATATTCAGATGGGGGTGGGGGTTGCTCCTTCTGAAATCCAGGAGGATGTGAAGTCCATAAAGAACACACGGATGTAGGAGTCCTTCTCCTCCAGGTGGGTGAGAGCAGTGTGGACCACAAAGGAGATGGTGTCTTCTGTTGATCGATTCTTGCAGTATGCGTACTGGTGTGGGTCCTCACTGATATCAATGATAACTTTTTTTTTTTTTTTTTTTTTTTTTTTTTTGTGATGGCCTCCCTTCTCCCCTTACAGCCATCCTCTCCACACCATTATTATGAAATATTTATTATAGTGACTATCTAGTGTAGGTGTTGTTGTTTATTTATTTTTTTTATTTTTTATTTTTAACTTTGATGTGGGCCATGACTATTGGGGTGAGGGCTACTGGCCAGTAGTCATTCAGACCAGTCACTGTAGAGCTCTTAGGAACTGGGATGATGGTGGCAGTCTTCAGGCAGGTGGGAACAGTTACCAGGATGAGGGAAGAGTTAAAAATGTTGGCCAGCACCTACACCAAGGTAGGAAGTAACCTGTAAACCTATTTGGTTTTAATAATTACATGCAGGTTGACAAAACTGACTAAAAAGTGTTTGTTTTGTTTTGTTGGTAGTTGTGTGTCACTATTGCTTGGCACAGTTATGTTTGTGTTGTAGACTGTTTGATGCCATGTCATTTTCTGTTATGAGTAGGTCTATCACTAAATGAGGAAAAAGTAAAATGCCCCCACTTAATTCACTATTGTTGGTGATCAAAATGTCACCTATTCATTGGGTAAAGTTATTATTCATATTTTTAAACAAGCAGTTCAGTGTCAGCATTGCTTATCACAATGGCATGTTGTGTTACAAATAAAACTAAATAAAAAATAATAGTGAAGTGTACCTCTAAAGTCATTGTGATAAATTCTGTCACATTAATTTCATTATCTTAGCCACAGGAGTGAGTTTAAAAACAGGATGATGCCTATATGGACTAGTTGAACAAGGAATCTGTCTCTAAAACAGTTATCGAATCAAGTATGTAGGTAAACGTAGATGTTTAACAACCTGTTAAAATACACCAGAATGCAAGAAATGGCATCTTCTTTCTTAAAAAATTTCTGGGTGAGGACCCCAGACTCCCCCACCAGTGTGTCTCCCCACCCCCACATTACAAATGCTTCTGATGCCAATGGACACAGAAGAGGCACATGGACAAGCATTGGGGCTGCCCCCTTGAAAGGCTTGTCGAGGCCAAGAACATTAACAAATGAGTTTTTGCTGTTAGCAAAATTTTCTGCATTGCTTTGATTTTTCTGGTTGACTTGCTGCTGTTGTTGCTTGTTGATTTTTTTGTTAACTAGCCATCTTTCTTATGTATGTCCTAATTAAATTACAATATGTTAGTAAATATCTTTTTACCTGAAGCATGTTGTCTTTTCCCCTAATTTTATTCTTGGAGTACAGTAATCCCTCGATTATTGCGGGGGTTACGTTCCAGACACCCCCTCGATAGGTGAAAACCCGCAAAGTAGGAACGCTATACAGTAGTCCCTTGTTTATTGCGGGTGCCCCACAATAAGTGAAAATCCGTGAAGTAGTGGTGTTATATATTTATTTTAATATTTTTACATATATATTAAGGCTTTATAAATCCTTCCCACACTCTTGCAATGTTCTAAACTCTTAAGCTTACTAATTTTAACAACATACTTATATGTAGCTACTAAATTTTATTTATCAGTGCATCCTTGCTCGGAAATCCTCGTGGGCGGGCTACCAGCTCTCAAGATTCACAGATGGGTCTGGAGGTCTGGTTCTGCTCCGGTTCTGGTCCAGTTTGGTGGGTTCCGTGTGACCCTCTGCATTCGCTGGGAGCCTAAGTCACGTAATAAGAACCAAACTTTTTTCAGTCAGATCAAAACTTTCCCTCTAGTTGTTCAGCAGAAGGAAACGGGGCTTCTGGGCGGGGCCCTGTTGCCTTCTGGGAAATGTAGTTGTCACCTTAAAAAGATCAGCAAGCTCATAAAGAAGGCTGGCTCAGTTCTGGAGACTCCTCTAGAACCTTTGGAGATGATTGTTCAAAGAAGAATTCTTCATAAAATGAAGAACATTATAGACAACCCTCAGCATCCTCTTCATCAGACTGTCATACAACAGTGTCTTCAGTCAGAGGCTTCTTCAGATCTGCTGTAAAACAGAGAGATCCTTCCTGCCCACAGCCATCAGCATCTATAATAACTCTTTAATGAAACCAGGATGATGAGTTACAACAACATTTAATTTCCCTCTGGGATTAATAAAGTATTTTTGAATTGACATGACTTGAATGAGCGGGAATACAGTGCAGACTTATTGAGAGAAAACTACAAAATGGCGGCGCTTGTCCGAAGTATTTATTTTTTCGTTAACATTTTACTGTACTGTATCCAGTACTGTCCCAATTATATGAGTAATATTAAAATTGACAATCCTGTGTCGTGCACAGTTTTTTTTTTTTTTGCACAGTACTGTGTAATATTATGTACTGTATGTATAAAAATGGGGGGGGGGGGTATCTGGTTTTGGGTTCTGGTTATTGCATTTATAATTCAATGCAATAAAATAAACACATTTAAAAGATAACAGAGCTGTTTCAATTTTGGTTTATTTATATACACTACCTGGCCAAAATTTTTTTTGCAACCATAAAAAAAAAGGTTACACTAATATTTCGTTGGACCGCCTTTAGCTTTGATTACAGCAGCATTCACTGTGGCATTGTTTCGATAAGCTTCTGCAATGTCACAAGATCTATTTCCATCCAGTGTTGCATTAATTTTTCACCAAGATCTTGCATTGATGACTAAGCACTGGGCATGATGGGTGCATCACTTCATCTGCCTCTCTTCTTACCCTGATGCACCCATCACTCTGGAACAGGGTAAATCTGGACTCATCAGACCACATGACCTTCTTCCATTGCTCCAGAGTCCAATCTTTATGCTCCCTAGCAAATTTAAGCCTTTTTTTCCAGTTAGCCTCACTGGTTAGTGGTTTACTTAAGGCTACACAGCTGTTCAGTCCCAATCCCTTGAGTTCCCTTCACATTGTACATGTGGAAATGCTCTTTCACTATTAAACATAGCCCAGAGTGCTACTGTTGTTTTTCTTCGATTTGATTTCACCAAACGTTTAAGTGATCGCCGATCACGATCATTCAGGATTTTTTTCCGGCCACATTTCTTCCTCGAAGACGATGGGTCCCCACTATTCTTCCAGTTTTTAATAATGCGTTGGACAGTTCTTAACCCAATTTTAGTAGTTTCTGCAATCTTCTCCTTAGGTGTTTTCTCTGCTTGATGTCAATGATTTGACCCTTCTCAAACAGACTGACATCTTTTCCACAACCAGGCGATGTGTCTTTAGACATGGTTGTTTAAGAAATGAGAAGCAACTCATTGCACCAGTTGAGGTTAAATAACTTGTTGCCAGCTGCAGTAATTATCCAATAGGAGGCCTGTACCTATTTCCTTAGTTAAATCCAGGTGGTGACTTTTTTTGGCCAGGCAGTGTAATTATTTTAATTGCTGGATGTTCGGCCCCATGCTGTTGGCTTTCAGAAACTGCGGCCCCCTGAGCAGTTATGTTCAATAGCCCTGTTCTAATCTCTTAAACCTACGTCATTTTAACAACAGACGTATATGTACTGTACAGTACTGCAAAATTTTAAGGACACTCTGTGTGTAAGGCTCCCCAGGATTTAGTCCACCACCACGGCCTGGTCTGGACCAGCACTGTGTGACCAGAACCAGGCATGGTGGTGGCGCAGAGATTAGAGAAGCTGGGCCTGTGATCAGAAAGTCGCAAGTTCAACTCCTGGTGCCGTCAACATCAAAATGTGGGTGGAAAAGGTGAAACACTCTCACCTGCCTCTACCCTCATTTGCCCCACTCCAGGCCCTTTACCCCCACCATCTGCTCCCAAAAACAGGTCACTCTTGAAAATGAATTCTCATGACTCAATGAGACTACCTGTATAAATAAAGGATAAATGAAAAAATGAAGCTTGCTGCCGTCTGTCCCCTGCAGCCCCCAGGATCCAGGTCACACTGAGTCCAGATCAACTGCAGCCCAGGTGCTCACCAGTGAAGATGCAACTTGAAGGATGAGTGCAGCTTCAGGATTATTTGCAACTTTCCTGCCAGTTTTGTGAGCTTCATGGATAGATCTAAAAAAGTTAAGTCTGGTCCTCTGGACATTCAAAAAACAAAACAAAGCAAAACAAAAAAAAAATGTAGAAACATTTCGTCTTTCATCCGAAAGACTTCTTCAGTCTGAGGAGCTGTATTCAGCTCAGTCTTATAAATAGCACCTTCTCTTCAGCTTATAAGACTGAGCTGAACACAGCTCCTCAGACTGAAGAAGTCTTTCAGATGCAAGACGAAACGTTTCTACATTTTTTTTGTTTTGCTTTGTTTTGTTTTTTGAATGTCCAGAGGACCAGACTTAACTTTTTTTTTAGACTTTTCTACCTGGATTATTGAGCATGCATCAGGCTAACAGATAGATCATTACTTCTGACTTTGCGTTACAAAACTTTCCCTCTACTTCGACAGAAAGCAGCAGCTGGAAGCACTGTTGACTTCTGGGTAGTGTAGTTGTTTTGACTGGTGTTACAATGTAGGCTTATTGAAAGAAAACTACAAAATGGTGGCGCCTGTCCAAAGTATTTTTTTCCGTTATCTGTACCATCCCAATCACATGAATAATATTAAAGGTGACAATCGTTGAAAAACCACGAACGCACGAGTCCAAGAAAGTCGAACCGCGAAGTAGCGAGGGACTGCTGTATACCAGAATTATTAATTCACATGTTAAAAATCACAAAATCTTCCTGGATGCCCCCCTCCCTTTTACAGGTGCTAGAGGTTTGTCACCTTTTGTCATCCCTTCTGAGTTTGCAGGTATGAATTTTACTAGGTAAAACAAAAAAACAACATTCAAACTTGGAAGTGTCATCAACTAGTTTCAATATATTTACCCAATTTAGGCAAATGCACAAACTCATTTTAACACCAGGCCAAAAAAGGTGAGAATGGTTTTTAGAACAGCTGGAAAACAGGTTCTTGAATTTTGTATTTTTATCTTGATTTATGCTTTGCACACGTTTATTGTTTTATTTATTTGTAACTGTTTATTATGTCATCTTTCCTCATAGGTTCTGCAATGCATGGCTGGGAAACGTCTGAACGAGCAAACACCACATCTGGTCAAAATAAAGCAGATTCAGAAAAATCAACAAGTATATTTCACTTGCCTTCTAATTTTTGCATCACTGCTAATACCAATGCTTTTCAAATAGTTGTTTTTACTTTTCAAATAATCTATTACTTACACTAATCTATTGTTAATACATTTAATGACTTTTAGTTGGGTTTAAGTCTTTCTTCTTACTGTTTTCTGACCCATTCTTCTGTAGCATCATTTAGCATTGGAAGCTTTTGGCCCAGCTTTTCACAGAAAACAAATGTAAAAGGTAACTTTTTAAAATTTATTTTATAAATTTTTAAAATAATCCATTGGTCTATTCAAATTTAGACCTAATTTTTTAATAGCTTTGTTCATGAAATGCTTCTTGTTATCACAGACAAAGGCGCAACAGAGTCTTGCAGCTCAAACCTTCATAAAAAGCAAGGTAAAATGTACAATTTATTCAAATAATTGTGTTCACTTTTAACATAATCTGCAACTGAGATTGATCTTCATAAAACAGACTTCATTTCTGTAATAGTTGGTAATAGTTGGTTTTATGAAATGCTTACTGTTGTGTCATATGATCGCCTGGTGACAGGGGGGTGTAGCACCGCGCTGATGTGTTTCATGCTGCCAGAAGTCCACGGAGAAGATAAAATGTCACTTCATCACTTTGGACTGTTGTGCTGAATTAACATATTATATGTCTTTCACATAATCTGCATTGTTCAAACTGCAGCCACATTTTTAGTCTTTGTTTGATTGAAAGTAGCCAACTGTTGGATATTTTGTTTTAATCTTAAAAATAAAATCAGTTGTTTTATTTATATATATATATATATATATATATATATAAAGCTTTGGACTTTGACTCTGGTTTAAAGCTTTTGTTAAACTAATGAAAACATTTTCTTTGGTTAATGCATTGCCCAAATCTTTATTTAAAATAAAGTATGTTGTGTGTTTTGACTGCTAAAACTTACTTCACTTTTCACTTTATAGTAGATTTTGTACAGATTTATTAGGTTTCTGTAGAATTGATAAAACACTACTTGGCTAAAAAAAAACAAACGTGCTGTTTATCATACTGACCCAACTGACTGAAGTTTATGCAACAATCACTATATTCCTTTATGTCATTTATTTCTACTCTGGGGTTGACTGCATTATTAACTTGCAATGCTCTGCATTTGAATCTTCTGTCTTAGTGAAGTACAAGACGGTGGTCAGCGGTAAAACGTTTGACGCACATCTTCAGATACTCGGTCGAATCAAGAGTTCTGTTCATGGCTTGAACTTGGTAGATGTGGAAAAGTACCAAACCAGCGAGGCTTGCCAGGTCACGTTTGTCTTCTGTCCAAATGTTTCCCGTGTTGGGACAGACATTGAGGCAGCCATGAAAGAAGTCACAGGTGAGAAAAAGCTTTCCAGGTCATTTATGCTGGAGAAAAAAAAAAATCCAATTAAACATTCAGGTTTTTACACGTTTACATTTTGCCATGTGAAAGTTACTGTTTTAACCCGTCCTGCAACATCCAAAAGTGGGCTCACCTCTGCAAAATACTAAAGAGCCCATCACACGTTATACCTTCAAATGATGTAAACATACAACAAGCATGTATGTAAATCAGCAAACCCCATGTTTAATCACATGAACAAACCTGCACTGAATATCAGCAGACAAAAGTAATGAAAGAGCTACAGCACAGGACTCGGCAAAACTGCTGGCACAGCCCTACAAAACCTCACTGACCTACACAAGGCGAGGTCAGTGAACAAGGTCAGGCTGATTCTGGCAGATCCTGATCACCCACTCCATGGTGAGTTCAGGTTGCTTCCATCTGGACGCAGGTATCTGCAGCCCAGATGTAGAATGAACAGACTGAAAAAGTCATTCATCCCTGTAGTGATCAGGCTCCTCAATAAACAGTGATCATTTCATGTATTCTTATTTTAATGTATGTGTCTTGTCTAGTATGGATGTTTTGTGTGACTACTGACTGAAACAAGTTGACCCTTGGGGATAATAAAGATACTTGAACTTGAACCACTCTACAAAACCAGTCGAGTTGAGTCCCATGACGAGTTCAAATGTTCTTAAATGAGACGCCATCTGATATGATCGGTTAATTAGGTCTCAACGTAAATGGAAACCAAACACTTCAGCTAATAGTTTATAATTTTTATTATTCAAAACGGCCATTAAAAACAATTATTTGGTAAAAATCTAAGACAACCACCATTTTTTAGTTAAAGTTGTTCGTTGCAGAGTGCCCTGAGGTGACTTTAGTTGTGAATTGGTGCTCCATAAATAAACTTAATTCCCTTTTTGCTGACAGAAGAGAGAGATGTCTTTATGTCCAAGTAAGGGGACAGCTCTGTCTCCTTCAAAGTCTTCTGTTTTCTTACACTTGTTTTGTTCGTTCCACAGGTTCGGGACCCGTTGTTCTGGTTTTGATGCACCATTCTCATGAAGCTAAACACGTTGCTTCTGTTAAAACCTGGACTGAAAACTCTCAGGTTTTGTTACACGTTAACGTTTTCTACCATGACAAATCAAATGGATTAATTGCTTGCAAAGAAAATGATGAGGCCATCTCTGCAATCCGAGACAAGTTACAGAGTTGCTTCAGTTATTAAAGCAAAGAGCACTAAAATAAATCCAACATAAACACACCCATGGTTTCTAACCTGGACCAAGAGGTGCTCACTGCACACTCTTTCCTAATAGGGAAGGTCAGGATTTCTTTAAAATTGTATATTTTGATTTTGCATTGATGTTGCTGATTGTGGTGATGACCGTATCATGAAAATACATGTAAAAAAAAAAAAAAAAATCCTTTGCTGTAAGCACTACAGCAGATCAGATAATGCAAGACAAATACTATATATTCATCTTGACCTAATAGTAGCTCAATAGCATTGTGGGTAATTGTAGTAGTGTGGGGTGTAATCAATAATCCTGTTTTTAATAGGTTTTATTATTGTTGCTTGCAGCCAGATAGAATTTACGTGTCAACAAGAAAAAATAGATTGTGCATTATAAATGGAAAGAAATGCATGCTCGTCTTCATAACTTTAAATCAAATGCCTTTATTTAATTATGCTTGCAGACAGTGACTACATTAAAAACCTGTTGTTATTGTTTGTTCAGTGAATATGTAGATCCAATTGACAACTAATATTGTTTTTGGTGAACAGAAATGTCAATAATAAAAACTCCAATGGTTTGTTTTTTAGGTTCTGCCTTGGTGGTGTTGTTGTTGTTTTTTTTTTTTTTTACAAAAAAGAAAATTATTGTTTGCAAAATATAAATAAAGTTTGTGTTGAAGAGTCTGATTCATTGTGTCAAACTTCATTGCTGTGCTTCAAAACTTGCAGAACACTGTTAATTAGACTGACGTACTGCTTTTGTGTTTTGTTTTTGCAGTTTAAACAGATAATGAGCGCTCAAGTCAAACCTTTATTTACAGAAACTGAGAAACGAACCTCGGAATGGTATGGTTCACATAATACAAGCGAGTCTAGATGTTGAAGATCACAATATTTCACTAAATGGAAGGTCCTGAAGTTTTCCAGTCTGCATTTTTAAAAGGCCAACACAATGAATCAGTTTTTTATTTAACAATTATATTTTATAAAAATCAAACACATTTAAATCATCGTGTACTTTGTAGTAACTAGAAATGTATAATGCAGTCTATTGTAAGTCACACGTTAGTGTAATGATGGTAATATTTATGGCATAGGCAGTAAATTTTGTTTTGAAACTGAACTTTTATTTGAAAGACAGTAGTTACGTTTTGTTTTGAAAAGCCAAACCGGATGTTTGAAAGTTGTTTACAATTAGCTGCATCCGGTTGGCGCTAACTCGTTAGCATGAGAGCGTAAATGTTAAAACTTACATCTTTATTGTGGACAGTTTTTGTCTAAGACTACAGCAGAAACGCGTTTTAGACCAGCAACATAACAGCGAGTTAAAAAAACAATTTTTACAGTTTTTATTTGATTTTGACTTTGTTTTGGTAGCGCATGTCAAGTTAGCCGTGTGGAAACTGCACATGATCTTGAGCAGTCTGACTTATTTCAACAGGTGTTAGCTTTAAGGACGTGCAACAAGTAACTTAAAAGTTTCTCATTTGTGAGTGTTCACTTTAAATAATGCATTTGTAATATTTCAGTTGAGTTTGCTCGCTGTTGATAGCTACGGTTGTATTTTGCAAGTATTAATCTGCTTATTCAGTATGAGATGATTTTCGGTCGCGTCTCTTTAAGCCTCAAATTGTGTTCAAAAAGTGTTTGTTCACAAAGGCTTCATGTCGTTAACGAATTGCCAGTTTGGAAGCTTTATTCTACATCTTGCGCCAAAAGTTGTGAAAAATTCAGAGTCTTTAAACCATTTGCTCTCAGGTTCAGACTTCAGGTAAGGAGGGGAAATAAAGGCATGAATTGAAGTCAAGTTCAGTCATTTAAAACCCCGTTGTAATTCCATAAACGTGTGTTTCAGGTGACAACACAGCCCTGTCTTTGTCTGCCAACAGTGATGCAGCCAGCCATCATCTATGGACCAGAGGCAAATGCTGCTGTCTCAGATGATGAAGATGATGAGGAGGAGGGAGGCAGTGGTGGTGTTGGTGAAAGTTCGGTTGGAGAGGAGACTGTCATGGGCCAGGGTGATGAAGTCAAAGTGGAAGTCCATGAAAGCGTCACAGATTCTGGAGTCTCTGTAGTTTCCTGTAAGTAGAAGCGAGTACCTCAGATGATGATGGGGTTATCATCATTTTGTGGTGTTGGTAGAACCCTGATAATGTTTCACTGTAATACATTATATAAGTAGATCAGTTTAACACTGTGACAAGTGCTCTTAAACCACGTTGTTGTCACTGTTTTTGCATTTCACCATGAACCATATTTTCACATCTGTATCCAAACACATATTCTATACTTTTTTTTTAAAATTTCCTAGCAACTCCAACAAAAACAAGTGAGAAAATATCAAAGTGGAAAATGAGAAGGGAGAAACTGAAGTTGAAGAAGAAGCAGCTCAAGTCAACTGAGACGTCTGCCAATTTAATGGCAGAGCTTCCATTTGCGCTGACCAGCCCCACCACATGGAAAGAGCTGGGATGTATGTATCGTACATGTTCCCTGTTATATTATACAGTACATGCATTTTTTTGGACAATGACACTGTAGACTGGTAACTCTTGATTTAATAGTTTAAATTGTTAAAAGGTAACCTCATGGCCTGAGTGACTGATTTCAGTTGTAGTTGACTGATGTTTTTTAATTGATTTGCTGGTTCTGTGAAGTCCCCAATCCTGCATTATCAGAGAAAAAAAGAAAGAGGAAAAGAGACAGCGGAGGACGAGGGGACAGTGAGGAGGATGGAGACCAGAAGAAAAAAAAGAAAAAGAGCCATCGACCCAATTATTTTGTCTCCATTCCCATCACAAACACACAGGTAAGAAGACTCAATGCAATAAACAATGTTACTAATTGAATTTTGTAAGTATATGAATGTATTTGTTCAGCGCCCTGAGATCACTTCTGTTGTGACTTGGTGCTATATAAAAAACTGAATTGAAATTGTAATTTTCTCTAGCGTAGATATTCAATGTTTGCCAACAGTTCAGTAGTCAACTTGAAGCTTGCATCATTCAAGAAGTAAAATTGAAGCATCATTTTTGTATTTATGTGAAATTGAATGTTTTATTTGACCTGCTGCTTATTTTCTGTTATTAAGGCTGCTTTTCAGTTGTTGTTTTTTTATTCTTTAGCTCTTAATTTCTCTGTCTCTGTAGCCCGGTTAAATTTATACACTTGTTGGTAAAGTAAAAAGTACAGAAGCAATGTTTTTGTCAATTGTTGGTTGTAAACGCATCCAATGTACCAAAATTTATACAAAACTACTGTGGCTGATGATGCTGAAAACTTAGATTTAAGAAAACAATAACATTTTCTAAGAGAAAGCTTACTGTGCTTAAACATGTAGACTTGTACAAACGGTATCTTGTTTTATTTTATTTTTTTATTTGAGTTCCCATCCAAACCTTCTTTCTCATTCATGAAATACCAGCGTGGCATCTATGCATGTGTGTGTGTTTGTATGAGTGTGTAGAAACCTGAATGTGAATCTGTCCAACAACAGATAAAGTCAGCTGTGACTGAAATCCAGGAGGCTGTGCTTCAGCAGGAACCACGACTGGCCAAAGCCATGATCCCTGTCCCAACTCTTCACATCACTCTTCTAGTCACTCATCTTACCAGTCAGGAGCAAGTGGACTTGTGAGTTAACGTGTGCAAACCTTCACACTAATATTCTGAAATGCAGTTTACAGGCAGGTGACGCCTAAAGAAATAAATCATTACTCCTACAATGAAGGATCCTTTTACTCCCCACCTCACTAATATCACTTGAGATGTGTGGGGTTTTAAATCCTCAGATTGTCAAAACCTCATTTACACATGAATAAAATGAGCACATTTTCTGGCTTATCAGAACCCATGTGAGGATGTGTGAGATCAAATAGAGCTTTTACATGCAGAAGTATTTATCTTTAATTTAACACACCCTCAGCTCTGAATAGATGGCTCACAGGTGTGTTTAGGATTAAAACATTTATTTCCTGCAGAAGCAGGGTTCTGCTGGCAGAGTAAAGGATGCAAGTGTAAATGTTGTAATTCATAAATTTATGTTTGTGATTTATGTTATGACCCGGCTCACAGAGCTGAAACTTGAAAGAGAGATTAACACAATGTTAATTAAAGTTTTCTAACCTTCAGACCAACTTAGTGTTTCCAAATACTTCAAATAAAACAATGTTACCAGTTATTTATGAATAAATAAAAAAAATTGAATTACCAAAGAACATACTGCTTCCAGGCTGGCCAGAAGTATAGTTTCAGGTTGTTCTTCTTTTAAACAATGTGTACATATCAGTGATTGCAGCTCCAGTGTAACTTAAGAAGAACGGGTTTATTCAGGGGGATGCAGTTTCATAAAGGTATTAGATTTAAATGATTTCCAGGAAACAAAATTCAGAAATGCTACTCTTATAATATTCGTGCAGACAATCCAAAATATTTTCTGTGTCTTGTACCGTTACAACTTAGGCTATGTCCACACTACAGGCAAAAGTGGAACAAATCCTTATGTTTGGTCTATATGTGAGTCGTATCTGATTTCTTTTGACAGTCTGAACATGATAAACTCTATATACGGTACTGTACATATATTTTTTCAAATCAACCAATCAATTTTCTCATGCACGTAACTTTAGAATCGATACACACATGCTAACTTGTGTAGCATCTATATTTACTCCTGTAAACACAGCGTGCTGTATGTAATGTCACGTCTTCATCTGCACGTGTGGGTTGCTTCATGGCTGTAGACTGGTCACGTTGCAGTCTGATGGCCATTGCATTTAAATTACAACGTGAACGGCCACACAGAAAACATTCCATCGGAGCAAAAGTGGAATTGGGCACGAAGACCTGAAGTGTGAATGCAATGTTAGAATTACACAGTTCAATTCAGTTTATTTATATAGCGCCAAGTCACAACGGAAGTCGTCTCAAGGCACTGAACAGAAACATTCATATTTAAAAATAACAATTTAACATTATTTATCTGAGAAGCAGACTGCTTTGAGTTTAACTCCATCACAGAACTCTCATCTTGAGCAAGCATGAAGGCGACAGTGGAAAGGAAGAACTCCCTCATGAGGAAGAAACCTCCAGCAGAACCAGACTCAGGACAAGCGGCCATCTGCTTTGACCGGCTGGGTTTGAGAGGAACAGCTACACAATGGCAGGTCTAGATTCACATGTTAAGATAGAAATAGTATCAAATTAAAATATTCAATTTAAACAAATGCTTTTAAGAAGTAAGGTCAATTTTATCCTCCAGTAGTGTAAGTTTAAGGCAGCATAACAAACCAACCCTAACTATAAGATTTATCAAAAAGTAAAGTCTTAATCCCAGTCTTTAAACTGGACAGTGTGTCAGCCTCATGGACAGAAACTGGAAGTTGGTTCCACAAGAGAGGAGCCTGATAACTGAAAGATCTTCCTCCTATTCTGCTTTTGGAAACTCTAGGAACTGCAAGTAAACCTACAGTCTGAGAGCAAAGTGCTCTGTTAGGAAAATATGGAACAATAAGATCTCTAATATAAGATGGAGCTAGGTTGTTGAGAGCTTTGTAAGTTAGAAGTAAGATTTAGAATTTTATTCTGGACTTGACAGGGAGCCAATGGAGAGAAGCTAAAACTGGAGAGATATGATCTCTCCTACTAACTCCAGTTAAGACTCTGGCAGCAGCATTTCATAATTACACAAGCTGAATTAAGCAGGCAGAGTTAAAAGTTATTCAGAGTGTTTTTTTTTTTTTAATTTTTATTTTGGGGGACAATGGTGTTTATGTGATTCCAGAGGTGCTGATGGCATGTTTGAGGATGGTTCATTGAAGAGTTTCAGAAACTATAAACTCCTGTGCAGCCTGGTATCCTTACTGACTGTTTTCTCCGGACATTGTGCTTGATGACTATAAACGCTGAAATGTATTTAAATAGTGAAACTTCAGATTTATTTTTGCTCGCACACTTTTTCTTAATTTTGTTTCGGTTCTTGTAAGTCCGTGCATCATTACAGCACATGGGTGAAATAAGCAGAAGAAAAGTTTAAGTTAATGTTTAAAAATTACATAATAACCATCATTTTAGTCTTTCCTTTTACACTAAATCTTGTAAAAAAAATAAAGACTGAATAGCATGGACATCAAAGGATACATAATTACAGAATTTGACCCTTTTTTCCCCTAATTAAATCAATTTATATGACTCATCAGCACATCTGTATTGTTTATGATGTGATTGTTTTTGCTGTGATGTTGAGTAATTTCTGCCGTGGATAAATAGTGATATTCATGTTGTGATATTTATAAATTACAACATGGTTAATGCATTTGTCAAATGTTTATGTAGGAAGTTGTGTTTTATTTGTGGTAACGTTTCAACCAGCTTATTTGATCTCAGTGAGATTTACAGAAGCATGAAAATAAAATATAAGGTTGGTGTCCAACTTATTTTTAAACATTTAAAGGCAGAAATTCAGTATTAACAGCACATATCATTTATAAACCAAACCAGATATATCAGTTTGAATAATTTTCATGAAAAAATAGAACGTTTAATTTCCACTGAAGATCGTTAATAGCAAAAAGAACACTTCTGATTAAAGCTCACTCATCTCTGTGATGCTCTGAAGCATGTAATCCCATCATGTGACTCATTCATAATCTGTAATAAGTAGAAGATTTTCGTCTTTACTAATCACTTGATTCTGTTATTATGTAATGTGACGTGGAGGCTGCAAGAGGATTAGGTCATGAGTTGGTGTGTGTATTAATGTGCATGTATATTTGTTTTTATAGGGCTGCAGCTGTGCTGGCTCAGGTTGAGCCGTCAGTGGCTGAGCTGCTGGGGGGGCGGGATCTGGTGCTGCCCTTCTCGGGAATCGGTCATTTCAGGAAGGAGGTGGTGTTTGTTGGACTGGACACAGGACTACACAGACACACACTGGACAGCCTGGCAGGTCAGTGTCTGTCGTTATGTTTCTACATCTGTACATAGACTGCAAATACTAAATGATGTTTTCTTTAATGAAGATAAATAGCTTTGGTGTTACTTGATGCAGTAGTTTTCTTTTTGTCTTTTGTAGAGGGGTGTTGGAAGTTTGGTTCAGCTCAGGGGTTCTGCATTTTGCTGCAGTGTTTAGTGTCTTTTTTAACAATCATTTAAACTCTATGGATACCTTTTGTTTTAGAACTTTGTCTATGAGAACTAACATTTACCCGCTCTAAGTGGGTTTAGGTACAGTGTATATTCTAAAGAGAGCGGCACAGTGGCGCAGATTGTAGAGCTGCTGCCTCTCAGAGAGAAAGTCGCCAGTTCAAATCCTGGCCCAGGACCGTTCTGGGTGGAGTTTGCATGTTCTCTCCGTGCATGCGTGAGTTTTATCTGGGTACGCCGGTTTTCTCCCACAGACCAAAAACATGCATGTTAGTTTGAATGGTAACTCTAAATTGTCCCTAGGTGTGAGTGAGAGAGTGAATGTTTGTCTCCATGTGTCCCTGTGATGGACTTGCGACCTGTCCTGGGTGTCCCCCGCCTCTTGCTGGGTATGGGCACCAGTGCCCTGAATTGGAAGAAGCGGGTAAAGATAATGGATGGATGGAATATTCTAAAGGAGAACTTTGGTTGAATGGGCTCACATTCAGAAGTTACAGTCTAAACCTGGTCAGTGGTTTATAGTCGTTTGGAAACTTGGTGTAATCGTCCAAATGTTTTATGTGTTTTGTCGCTCGTGTTAGCAAAATATCCCTTGTACTTCTGGACGAAGTTGAACGAAACTTGCAAATTAATCCCTGGATGTACATCTACAGCTGATTGGAGCCACCCAATTCAAGATGGCCACCACAGCTAATCAAAATTAACCAATGTGAAAATGGCTATAACTCTGTCAGTTTAACAGATGTTGAGCTAAAATTGGTGTGGCAGTAGCCGAGAGTCATCCTCAACATACACTCTGAGGATAACCATGTCTTACTTGATGTGTTGACCATCATGAGTTCGAGCTCTGTCAGGAGCGGCTTCGAGAGATTTACATTCCTTTAAGGATTAGTGAGCCTTTAATTTAGCAAAATGCATTTTTTAACTCGTCAATCAAAATGTTGATGACTTCAAGGTCAGTTATATTGTGTAAAATCTTTTTGGTACTCTAGTACGGGTTGTTAAAAACGTATTGTTTTCATCTTTGAATATATATTTGTACATCTGTTTGGATCTTTATTGATAAAAATGTAACTTAAGGGCGATCACGTTTGTATTAGACAGTAACTGTTAAAGGTTGTAAATTTTATTTTTTGTAAAAAAAATTGTGAAGGCTGCTTTTGGAACCAACACTGAGTTCAAAATTAGTTTTTCAAAGTGAAGAATGAATATTGCAATTTTATCACATTCTATCTCTGAAAAACAAATAACCAGTAGTTCTGACCAAATATTATGAGATTTATTGTCTTTTTTTCTTGTTTTATTAATTCACGATCATTTTGCACGTGTGAGTCTCTGCCTGTGCGTGTGACACGTGTCTGACGACTTACATCAGCACCGAGTGAGGAAGTTCAAACAGAAAGAGTCCGTGTTTTTGAAATGAGCCAAAAACTATGGAGCCAATATTTCTAAGAGGATTTCTGCTGCATTTCTCTTCCAACGCACTCCGGGAGCTCACATGTAGTTTTTACTGCTCACGTTGTTCAAGCACGTCAGCTGAAGCAGAAAGATACTTTAATAAGCTCACGCATGAGAACACAGTGTTGTGATACGTCACAAATTGTGTGTTTGTAAAGAAGAATAAGTTTTTATTATTTGTTTAACATTTCCTTGCTTATCATTCATAATCTGCTTATACTTGAGCTTTTAATCATATTGTTTGAAATCTGAATGTAAAATTTGTGTTATGATGTGATGTAAGTGGGCAAATCTACATTATAATCTGATATATATCTGTAAAACTATTCTTATATTTACATTTTTTATTGTAAATTGGGTAAGTCGTTCAACTAAAGCTGTTGATCATGGTGTGTTTGTGTGTTTTGCATAAACACGCTGTAGTTTTCACACAAATTAATTTATTAATTTGATTAATCGTATTTTATCTTTTGGTGACTCTTCATTGACAACTCTTTTATGCCCATTAAAAAATCATAAATCATACCGTAATATTTCAAAGAAACTTGAATTATTTACAAAAAGCTTGTTTATTTTATTAGGATTCTTCCTATAGGAAAATATTCATAGGAATATCTGTTTTTATGAGAACTGAAATGATGGAGCTTATTTTAATGTTACCTAACGTATTACTACTGTTGAATCATGTGAAGTTAAAAGAAATGGATGGTTGTACAGAACCAGAACCAGAGACAGTTCAGTGTCCAGTTCCATAGACACTAACTCTCTGTAAAGCTAAAGATCCACTATCTCTTTTGTTCCTTTTAACGTTTTGACCGTTCGTACAAGTTTGATGTTAGCAGCAGGACGAGCCGACTGAGAGCGTCTTAATATTTCTAAGATTTTTTAACTTTTAACTTGAAATATTATAAATCAGGAATTGAAAATCTCAGCCGCACCAACAGAAGTCTGACCCTCGTGTCTTCTCGTCTGCTCTCTCCACCTCCTGTATTGATTATATACTAACCTTTCTCTGCCTGCCGAGTTCCTCTTCTAAAAATATCTCCGTTAGCTTCCCACTCCACCTCTCCGGCTGCATCGTTGTCTGTTTATGTCTGCAGGCTGGCTGTCTGGTATTGACCCTGTTCCTCCACCCTTTTGTCTTTTTAAAGCAGAGTCAGGATGCTGTAGTGGAGGAACTAGAGTTAAATCTTCACATACTTATGACATTGTGCCTTTGAGTCAATATGATGCTTTTGTAGGACGTTGTTTACTGGCGTTGTTGCTAGGCCTGCCACGATAATCAGTAAATCAATTAATCGCATGATAAATGAAAATTATCGATCTCCTTTTCATTTATCAACTTTATCGTTTCTTCGCGTCTCTCTTTCTACTGAAGACACTGGATGATAAAAGGCTCAACTCTGGTGCTCTTCACTGACTCCTCCCCTTCTCTTATATCTTTAAAATCAATTTTAACCGTCCAAAATCGTGTTTTTGGATCGTTAAAAGCAACTAAACTGAGAAGCTAAGCTACAAGCTAAGCTAACAGGCCGACCTCGGGGAAAAAAACTTGCGTCTTGTCGAAGCTCCAAAGTTCACGGTTGAAACCCGTGCCTTCGTGTAAAAAGTTGTTTTCTGCAAAAAGAAGCTGAGAACTTGTTTACTGTTGTTTTTTTTTTAATTATTTAAAACTTTGGTGTGAAAAATGCTATGCTAAAGAGCTTGCTCCACTTTGACCATCCGCCATTTTGAGAACCAAAGAGAGACAGCCCATGTCACATCAAGGGGCCTCCCTCACTAGCCATCCTTCGGTTCAAACAGTCTTATACTGCCATCCAGTGGTCGAAAGATGGTACTACACACAAAAATTAACCAACTTTTCTTCTTAAATTTGACAATAATTAGTAATTATTGTCAAATTTCAAACAATATTATCGTTTATCACAATAATTCCTGAGACAATTAATCGCACAGCAGAATTTGTTATCGTGACAGGCCTAGTTGTTGCTATTTAACGTCATGTGATTTAATTTATTTTTAAAACATTTTATTTCATGTCTGTAACAAGTCTTTACAATACCCAAAGCATTTGGATTGTAATTTTGTACCCGACTTATATTGTATGCCAGATAAACATGACGTGTGCGTGTGTTGTAGAGTTGCTGCAGAGCCGTTTTGAGGAGCAGGGTCTCCTACAGAGAGACTGCCCAAGCTTTGAGCCCCACCTCACCATTATGAAGCTGTCCAGAGCACCAAAACTACGATCTCAGGTATGCACGTGGCTGGAATCATTCATTTAATGAAGAGGAGAAATGGTGATTAGAAATCATGAGTGCATGTTATGTAGTTTGATCGTAACTGTTGAGAGAGATCCACCGAGTTAAAAAGGAGGAACTGCTCAGCAGCAGAGGTGGAGAAGATTAGAGATGAGCGAGTTAAAACAAGTAAAGCAGACAAAAATAAATGCAGGTGAGGATGAAGACGTATGAGCGTCAGAGGAAGAATGTTTTTTATTTTGTAACATTTTCCCTGACATTTAATGAAACCTCTTCCTGCCCGGCGCCTGCCCTGTGACATCGTCTTCCTGCTGTCTGTGTGTTTATCAGGAGGAAGTGTCGTAAAAAGTTTGATTTACTCACCAAGAACTAACTTTTCCCTCTTCTTTTCTTTCAGGGTATAAAGCGCGTGAACCCAACCCTGTACTCCGAATACACAAACAAGTACGTAGTACTTAAAGTATGACAGAAAACAAACTAGTACTTAGTTTGTTTGTTCCACTTTAGTTGTCACTGATTTGTTGGTCATCATATTGTATTTATGCTTATTGTAGTTTTTTTATTATTATTATTACTATTTGTTTCAGTGGTAAATTTGAGAAATGTCCTGAAACAATGAGGGATATTAAGATCTATGGAAATCTTTTTTTTATGATTGCCTGTCGCATTTTAAGCCTTAACTGTTGCAAAGATATTTAACAGTAACCTTAACTTATGAAACTAAATATTAAAAAGTGATAGTTTAGGGGGGGGGGGGGTTGTTACATTTTTTAACTAAAGTTGGAGTCTTATTTATCTGTCATCCTTTATTTAACATGGAAAACCCCTTTGAGATCACAGATCTCTTTTGCAAGGGAGGCCTGAAGGCAGCCTAACATTGTTTTTTTGGTAACTTTATTTTAAGGATTGAAAGCTGAAAGGTTTAAGAACCACGTTCTCTCTTTTCATACATTGTGTTGTGACTTCAGAGGAGGATGAGAATCTGAAACTGGATTTGAATTGTTTAAATTACGCTTCATAAGAGTTGACTCTGCTGTGGAAATATTACATAAACTGCTTCATATTTTCTCAAGTTTGTTGTCCAATTATCGTAGTTTTAGGAAGAAATGATCGTCATCATGAATTCACAACATTCAGATTTTATTTTATTTTTTTAAGTCCTCATTAATTTCACTAACCAGGTGATCCAAAGTCCATCCTGTGGTCTTTGTGGGTGAAATTTAAGATATGTATTTTGTTAATGTTTAAGTTTATGTTTATTCAACCTTTATTTAGACAGGTAAATCCCATTGAGCCTCGAGGACTCATTTACAAGAGAGACCTGATTTCAACAAAGAGTGATGACAACAATGGACAACAGCGACAACAACAAACAGTTATAAAAAGGCATACAGATTATTTTTTTTAAACAAATAGAATGGCTAAAAAAAGAAAAGTAACAAAAAACAGCTAAAATGTAATGGAGAAACAAATAAAATAAAATAAATCTTCTTAAAATGTGCAATATTGAAAACAAAACAAGTGTGTTGTCTTTAATTAACCATGTTTATTGTTTTTATTCCAGTTTTATGGCAAAAAGAACCACAAACCTTTACTGACTTTCACTGAAAAGTACTTTTAAGTAACCATAATTGCTGTTTATTAATTCATCGATATAATTCATGTTGTGTATTTAAGGGAATATGGAGTGAGCGTAATTTGCAAACAATTTGATCAACTTTTCTATCATCTCTTCAAACCTAACCTGTTGATGCCAGCGATGCACTTTTTGCTTCAACCTCCTTCCAGATTGTGGGACGGGTGCAGAAGGTTTTCACTTGAAGTGTTCTCTGCCGGGCCACAGAACGCCTTTTTAACAACTGTTTCTAAAGGAAAAGGGACTCAGATTACACTTTTGTTCCTGAGAATAAAATGTACTTTCCAAGCACAAGAAAAAAACAAAAACACAATAAGCTCGACAAATCAACCGAACTGAACACTTTTCTTTTCATAAGGTAAATGTTTGTGAGGCTTGTTTTTGTTTCACTTCTTCTAGTTAAAACTCTTTTTTTCCACAAAACCTAGTAAACTTTTGTCATTCCATAAATTTTTTGTGTGTTAACGTTATTGAGATTTTAAAAATCACCCAAAAAAAACAGGTTTTTAATCAAAAAGTCAAAATTCTGAGGCCTGCTCATACTTCCAGCATGATGGTTTTGGCTGCATGTCAAAAGGTTTAGACACCAGACAACTGTTTTTACAATCTGTCGGACGTTCATCTACCTCCAAACCCAGATTAGTTTTTCACGCTTATCTTTCTGCAACATGCAGGATTTTTGGAAACCAGACAGTGGAGCGGGTGGATTTGTGTTCTATGTTGAAAAAGAAGCAACAGGACGGATATTACCACACTGAGACTTCACTACAGCTGGGTTAGTTCACACACACACACACACACTTGAGTCTTTTTGTGTTGTGGGTTTAGTTTTCAGTTAAACTATAAACCATCAGAGGGCGCTGTCAGCTTTCCAACAAGGTGCTGAAGTTCCACCTACTCATGGTTTTATGTCTGAGCAGAATTTGCTCGTGGACGTCTTGTTGCTGCTAAAATCTTTTCATTTTTAAAATTTGTTTTATTTTTATTTGTATCGGTCAAAATGGAGTGTCTCTATTACTGTTCAGAGTAAGGCTTGGATGGTTTCTTGTTGCAAAGGGTCAGTAAACATGACGTTTTTGTGATGTATGACTAGGAAAACTTCTGACGGCTTCATTTATCAATGTACATAATTTACCCTCATGTCAACATCAGAGGTTAAAACGAGAGGCAAACTGCTCTAACCAAGCACCAGGGGAACACTCAAGAGCTCATTTCCATTTTATTGGCTCTACTGCCCACAAACTCATTATCCTGGACAGGTTTTTTTTTTACAAGTTTGGCTCAACTGTAGAAAAAAGTGTCTACTGAATGAATTTTGCATAAAAGACCTTTGACTTGGAGTGGTGCTGTGAAAAATAGGCTTTTAAGGATGCAGTGTGTATTTATAAGGTTGTAGACTGTTTTTAATGTGTTGCAGACCTTTTAACGTAGATTTACACAAAAGTCTTGTACAGCAGCTTACTAAAACTATAGTTTTTAATGGTTTTGGCTCATTGCAAAGCGAGCATAAGCAGTTTTATGTGGTCTTAGAATTTTATTTAGGTCCTAAAAATGCTTGTTAAGGTTGCTAAAGCATGTCGCTAAACAAAATGGTCGAGTCTTTGGTTAAAATAATAATTTCTTGTTGTGATGTCGTTACAAAAAAAAACAAAAACACATGTGATAGTTACTAGAGATGGGCCAGCATGGCTTGTTCAGTGCCAATCTGGAGAAAATAGGACAACTAAAGACTGACATACTGTTAGACTGATTTTTATTTATTTTTATTGTTTTGTTTGTTTTTTGGTCCATAACTATTGTATGTTTATTTATTCATACACAGTACAGTCTGCTAGATTTTTAACACGAAAATCTGCTGTGAATAGAGATGATTGAAGAAATGGTTACAGCAGAATGTGTGATTGTCAATAGTAGCAATAAAACGGACTCAAAACATGTGAAATCTCTCACAGATATTTCACTGTTAAAGCCCACTTTGTTTTTTTTATTTTCTGGTCATTATAAAGTTGTTTCTTCAAAAGTTAGCATCATTTTATGATTGACTTTGGATCCTTCTAATGTTCTGGTGAATATAAAGTACCACAGCCTCTTCTTGGGACCCGCTGTGTGACTGACACAAAGGCGAAGTAATCACACTTAGCTGCCCACAGACCTGCCTGTCTTTTAATGTAATTGGCTTCTTATGCTCCGGCCTGGCCAGTGTTTACTTTTTGTTTTTTAATTTAATTATAACTTTAAAGAACTGTAATCGATTGAATTAATGATAGCAAATGTGTCGTCCTCTGTTTTCTTTTGACCAAACTAAATGAACATGTATCGTGTAATCATTTTCATGGTCTGTTGTGCAGAAGCTTTTCATGCTGTGAGCTGCGATTGATCTGTTTGTGTCTACTGGCACGAAAAGTTAGTGTTGTGGTAAAACTCCAAACATTGTTCTGAGGATCAAAACCCTCCGAACCGCCAGACTAACCAGCTCCAATCGAGACAAAGTTTGATTTTCTGCCATGAAGAATTGAACAAGCAACTCATAAAGTGTAGACGCAGCTTGTGTGAAAGTCTGTGTGCAAAAACAACGAGCGAACGGTAAAATAGTGCAAACACATTCTGCAAAGCAAAGCCATTAAAAAAAAGCATGTTAATCTGTTTGTTTCTTAGGATGGCTTGTAGCCGTCATAAATAATACCAGGAAGTGCAGAAAATGTAGTTGCACCACTACAGTGTACCATTCCCGCTGAAAATATGAGCTAATATGTACATTAACAATGAGAGGTGGAGGTATGCACTTGACAGAATCAGAGTCAGTTTCATTTGCCATTCGCACCACATATGGTACATGTGGTGGAACAAAATTATATACACAGGGTCCCAGTTACTGTATATACTGTGTGTGTGTGTGTGTGTAT